GAGAATATCACCGATAATATTAGAATAAAAAATCATTACATGTTCATTCAAAAAAATAGTATATATATATATATATATATATATAATATTTCATAATTCACTTATATATTTAATAAGTTCATTAAACAATACTACAGTCATATAGTTAAAAATGATTTTTTCAAGGAATTTGGATGTAGTAAACCCCCATTTATAGTGAACTTATTGCTATATACGCAAACGACTCATTATAACGCGCTTCGACTGTGCAATCACAAATATGTATGCTTTTTTGCTTCATTTTCAAGTATCAAAATACATACTTTAAGATTACGGATCTCTGAGCATAATAATAATTAAATTATGAAGAAAATTTTTTTTTTTTATTTCCATTTATTTATTTATTTTGTTTCGCTTGCTTTCTAGTTTCAAAATCAGGATTTTCTACTTACAGATATTGGTGAGGGCATCTGATAACGTTCTGAGACGAAACAAGTATCTCACTAAAGGTATCCAAATGAAGGGGACATTTTTCAATCCAGGCTGATGACTGGGAGTTAGGAGTATGTGGTAGCATAGGGAGACAAACAAGAGACCAGATGAGCTGATTATCAAGCAGGCTTTCCAATAAAACTCCTCTAGATGTTCCCACTAGAAGAGAATACTTATCATTGGAATTTAAATATTACTGAACAAACAGTCTTGCAACACAAAATTAATAGAATTTTTCAAATATAGGTCTTTGTGAAATACAATAATAAGTCACAATTCCAAATTTTTAAAAAGGCATTTTTGGGGAAAAAACATAACGATTTCTTTGTAGACTATAAGATGTCTTTTTTAAAGTATCTTTTCAGAAAAGGACATTTCCAAAACTTTTTATCATACACTTTTTAATAATATATGTGACCACAGTTGGGCGCCGATTACAATAATCGATTACAACTGTAATTGATTACAGATCATTACTGCTATGTAATCAATTACTTGTAATCACGATTACATGTAATCATATATTTTGATTACTTGCAATCATAATTAACCGTAATCGTTTTTACTTTGATTACGTGGAATCGCAATTACTTTTTTTTTTCAAATGGAACTGAACTTTATTCCTTGCCTTAGAAGATGCCGGAATTGTTACTCATTTCGCGTTACCCAGTGGGCACCTGTGAACCAAAGTCACGGAGGCGAACAACATTACCCACGCCACACTGCCACAAACCCGTTCATAGGGTGGGCCACATTCACACATCACACAAAACAGAGGACAACACAAAGAGAGAAACATCCATGCCCAGAGCGGGATTCGAACCCGCAGCCATTGGCTTCGCAGTCAGGCCCGCTAACCGCTCGGCAACATGGCGGGCAAAAAAATTACTTCCAAATCGCAATAACTTGGAATCACGATTACAGTTGTAATCAAAATTTTGATGAATCAAGATTACAAGTAATTGATTACTGTAATCAAAATGATAAAAAGTTGTGATCACTATTACAAGTAATTGACTACTGTAATCGACTATTGTAATCACGATTGCAGCTGTATTCTAAGTTGTAATCATGATTACAAGTAATTGATTACTGAAATTGATTGTTGTAATCACGGTTACAGCTGTAATCAAAATTACGTTATCTTGTAATTATGATTACAAGCGATTACTGTAATCGAAAAATGTAATCGATTACATTTTTGCCCAACTCTGGAGACAACCATTCTTATGAAACGGTTTTATTTGAGGTTCGTCTTTTGAAATACGCAGAATGATGACGGGAACTTATCACATATACATATTTGTCCCGCAGTGGACTGATCATAAAGACACGATTCACAATAGAACACCGAAGTCAAGCATCACTGACTGTGGTCAGTAAGCGGGATGGTGACCACTTTGATTAACCCTGAGTAGGGACGGACGAGGGTGTGCGGTATCAGTCCTCGTTAAACTGTACTACCATGAAGTGCTCGACTTCGCGCGCAGGTCGTCGGGCTACCAAAGTAAGGGAGCAATCCCGTTTGCAGAGGATCAAAATTGCGATGGCACGTCCTCGGATCCTTCTCAGGGATGTTTCCCAGACCGTCGCCAATAGCCCATTGTGCAGCTCTAGTGCGACGAAAATTAAATATCTATTATATACATATTTATTTTAGATTCTGGATTATTGTGCTCAATATTCGAAAATATACAAATATTTAAATAAAATAAAAGCAAAGTCTAGCTTTTATTTCAGGGGCCCCATTGCTCCCTTCTCCTTCATCTACTGTCTATCAGCATCATGTCCATAATCAATCTCATCTCTCACGAAAGAGTCCTTCTATTTTGACTTTTTCCTCCCCCACTATATACGACGCTTCATCCCCTTTCATACCCCCTCAGGTCAGAGGTCATTCAGATGCGTGGGAGTGGAATCAGAATCCCGACAATATAGTTAAGAAATATTTAGACTATATTATTAACTTGTTGTCTTGGCAATTAAAATAAAATTTTAGAACAAAATATAGTTATGTTATCCCAAAACTTTAAGACGCCATATATAAGTAACGAAAGATATAATCAAAAGTAATTAATAAATAAAGGAAACTGCAACTGTTCAAAATCTGAGAGTGACGGGAACTTGCATTATTAAATATTAGTTCATAAACACGATTTGTCGTACCAGAAATTATAGTTTTTGTTGAGGGTATTTAAAAATGAACACAGTTCCGCTTTTTAACTGTTATAATTCTCTTTAACGAGAAAAATTATTTCCCATTTATTTTTTCTTATAAGTCTTATTTCTTCTTATAAGTCTTATTAAGTCACACAAATTGTATTCCCTAGACTAAATTTTTTGTTAAGTGCAAAGATTATTGATCCAATTAGAGTTGATTCTTCGTTTCATAACGGTTAATGTATTGACAAAATGTTCTTACATGAAACTAAAATTGTCGTATGTTTTTTTTTAAAAATGTTCTTGTGCAAAATATAGAGCTTTAAGCAAAAACAATAGTAAATGAGAACCAATTACAGGGGTGGGTGAGCAGAGCGAGCAGGGGTTGCATCTTCCTAGTCTGCATAAATAAAGGAAATGATTTGAACGAGTCAAGCTTATTATATATGTAATTCCAATCTCAGTTTTGATAAAATAGCAAATTGTGACTTTGTGTGCAATAAAGATACATAGTGAAAAGTATTCGTTGGTACACAGGTCTTTCATTATTGTTTTTTCTTACGGCTTTTTGAAGCCTAAAGAGCCTTATATTGATCTCATAAATTTTTAGTTGACATTAAGGTATGCAGTAGTGTTCTGTTTACGCCCCACTATAGTTGCACAATAGACTATTGCTGACGCTCTGGGAAACATCCCAGAGGATAATCCAAAGACAATGCCATCACAATGTTGATCCTCTGCATAATCAATATCTCCTCCACTTAGGCAGCCCGACGATCTGTTTGCGAAGTCGAGCACTTTACGGTAGATCGGTTTTACGAGGACCGATACAACACTTACCCTCGGTCCCTTTGCAGGCAGATCAAAATGGTCACCCACATGCTCATTGGCAGCATGGTTCGCATTTTACCCAGCACACAAAATACAATTACTTTCTTTTACATACAAAATAATGAATAAGTGAGTTAAGTTTAGAACAATAACATCAAACTCGCGTCAGAATTTATTTTAACGCGCATTTCTTCACGGAAACATGAAGCTGTTTGAAAATTTTTCGTTAAAATTATCTAAAAAGTTTAAATTAAAAGCTAAAAACTTAAGAATTTTCTTTATTAATACCTAACATTTTTCTTTTAATATTTCAGGTAGTGCTGTATTTTATCTTCACTTAAAATTAGTTATCAAAACAGATTTAGGCACAATTTTACCCAACGCACAAAATATTATTACTTTATTTTACATACTAAAGTTTTTTTTTTTCTTATTCACTTAAAAACTTTCCCATATGTAGCGTAATACGCAAGAAGGAAAATTCGCATTAAGGGGCCTAAACTTTCAATCGATTTCCTAATTGAACAATTGGGATCATATTTTTTCAGGTTGTCACTAATCCTCTACCTATTAAGAGGATCAATAACCCAAATACGTCGAAAAAAAGTATGCTTATTCAGAGAAAGTAAGGTTTTGATTCTGACTTCATAACTTAAAATATCGTTTGCACAAATTCATTAGCATATTTAAGGTCAGGATCTCGATTCATTAAAATTGAGTCCTAGTGCTTGAAAATGTGAACATTACATCAAAAGTAATTTTGGGAGTCCGTTTCTTTACTTTGCACACTATATGTAATAGTAAAAGGAGAAGTGCAAATTTAGATTTTTCAAAATCGACATTTTTTCCTTGAGTAAGAAATTTTGTTCTTCGTTTCGTGAGTATTAAAGATTTCAATAGCGACAATATAATCGAACAATTTATGCTTATCTGTGTTTATTCAGCTACTTTACATGGTTTAGATTTATTTCCAAATACGTCACTCATATGTTTAAAATGTTAAACATACTTTGAAAACATTGTTATGAATATGTTAATAAAATAAAAATTTTTGAGTCATTATTTGTGATAATTAAATGACATTCGGATCCAGAACGCCTTTTTGAAACTCAATTTTAAAAAAAAACTGCAAATATTCTTTTTAAATTTTCTTTCAATAAGAATACAAATTATTTTTCAAAAAACCTTTACTCGACAATTTAAAAAATATGTATTTTAAAACTTTAAAAAAAATAATGTTTGTAATGTTCTGATAAGCAAGTTGATATAAAAGAAAGATACACAGTATAATTATTTTTCATTTATTTTATTAAAAATGCAAAAACGTTTCTCAGCAGTTTTTACCTTTTGAAGAAATTTAAAATTCTTCCGAAAATTGACTTTTGTCAAAAGGATTTTCTTGAAATTAAAATTTTAGAGCAACTAATATCAGTACATACGAGCCTACAACTTTGTTCGCAGGAAACCATATTTTTCCAACTTGTCTCAACGTAACTATCACTCAGTTTTTATTTTATTTTTATGAGATTAATTGAGCAGTCTACCATTAAGGGTTAGATTTTTTGGCACGAAAACAACATTATTAAAAGTTATGAAAAAGTTTCTGAATTTACGAATAATATAGGGCCGGGATAGCCTGGTCAGCAGGACACTGAACTAGCGTTCGCGAGAACAGGAATTAGAATCCAGCCAGCCGAAGACTCCGTATAAGTTATTGGTGCACGTTAAATCTGTCGGGTCGCAAAGTCCTCCATGTTCCCATAACACATTTTACTTCTGGGGGTACTGAATTGAAGATTGATCTTTCTCTAATTCATCTCAAAATTACGATCTGTAGATAAATGAATGGGTCCTCTCTATGAACGGATGTGGCGTGTGTGCGTGGCATAAGTCGAATTCTCGCCCATAGATGGCGCCACTGGAAGAAAAAAAACAGTCGCACCCCCTCTGCCCTAATGGACGACTACAACAACAACATTAAAAGCTATTATTGATTTTCTGTCTATATTCGTAGTCTATAAATATGCAATATCCCCCGCAATTACTCATCTTCAATAGGATTTTCAATGAATGATATAATTTCTGAAATAAAATATATCATTAATAGCAGAAGGAAAGAAAAAAAGGTGCATAATATATACTGAAAGAATGGTTTTAACTCTTTTGAA